AATTTAGCAAGAACTGAATGGGTGGAAAGAGTCCAGGTCTCTCAAAACATTAGTAAAGCCACATTTTGTTGGTTATCATTTCGTTCAACTCACCAGAACTGAAGCCAAATGACTGAAGCACTAAGACTGGAAAAACAACAGTTTAAACAGATATTTATTATCATTTATTCAGAAGTTTATAACGTTTAGAAATTTCAGTATTAGTATAGTTCTTTCAAGAGTGAAAAGAGCAGTGTAATGGAAAGGGCTCTCATTTCATGATCACGTTCAGGAACCATGACCAGTTGCTGTACACCCAAAACCATCTTAATAACACTAATAGAGACCGCCCGGTAATACATTGTTTTTGCAATCACACTGAGGACGTAACGATACGGTTCAGGGGGATATATTTTGTATGTATGTATGTTTTAAAATGGCGTGCTTTAAATTGTGGTGGCAGCTTACTGCTGACCAATATCTGTGTCTGCAAAGTTTTTAAATCTTGTAATTCAAGATCTTAAAGTGGGCAGTGTAATCCATTCTTATTCTACTTATCAGGATAGTTAAAGAGTTCCATTGATGGCACAGAACTGATACTGCTTTGACTAAGGCTTCGGTCATCGGCAATTCAGAGCAAAGCCCTACGTTTTTCAAGCACTGCACAGCAAACAACAACTGGAGAGTGAGAATTTTGTAAAAGTTGTTTGTTTCATTACACTTCAGGACAACCGGTAAGCAAAAGTTTTTACACTAACATAAAAAAAACTCAACACAGTAGACAGAACATCAGTAAATAGCAGGACAAAAAAATAAAGTTTCCAAGTGTACAATCTACAATTTCTTCACCATCAGCTCATTTTTAATCGCCTCTGAAGGAACAACCCAAAATAAATACACTATTCATCATCTGATTTGCATTATATTAAACCCCCGAACTAAACTCACCCCTCATTTTCAAAAAGAACTCTTTGAATTACAATAATACTGCTTAGAAATCTTGGGAAACAGCTAAGACTGCATTGATAAGACCAGCAGCATTTATTAATGGGGGTTTTATTGAACAGTAGTCAAGGAATCAATTCAACTAGATGTAACAGTCCTCGGTACAGTACAAAGTACAGTTTGAGCCCAAATAGCTTTATTGCAGTGAACATTGGTCAGCCGTCTCCAAACCACCTGTACCATAAGCATACAAGCATTTTTAGCCTCATCGAATGAGAAGATCAGCAGGTTTGAACCCATTCTTCTCCCAATGTACGTGGAAACAGGAACAGTCGGCATATCTGAAAGGAGCACTGGATTCCACTGCCCTGAAACTATGCAATCTGAAGGGGCTCAGCCAGAGAATGTATCAATGGGAAACGTCTACACTGAAATCAAAGCCATCTGGTACCCACAATATAAAAATACTGTATTTAAAGTCTATGACATATTATCGGGATAGAAAGGTAAAATCCCAGCATTCTCTCTAAAAGTGATTGTGCATTCGGAGTTTGCAAGGAGCCGCACCACTGTCACCCACAATACACTTGCCTGAGGATAATGCAGAAATACATGCATGCTAATTCCTCAGAACACAGGACAAACAACACTGTGCTCTGTGACCCTAACACAAGGTGCATACTTTCCCATACCAGGTATTGGTGGAAGGTTAGAAGTCATTTTAATACAGGATGAAAGAAATTAGCATGATTTCTGCTCAGTAGCGTAAGAGTACGAGTCGAGGTCAGTGCTGAAAAGTGAAGAGTGATGAACAGCACGGCCTTCACAGGTGTGTACAGGTGAGGACAGAGCAGAAACGGCGCTGACCAGTTGCTCTGCACTACTGCTCTGACCTCGCACAGACAAGGTATTCTGGCTCGGCGGCTTTTGCGAGACATTTTAGAGAAATTTAATTTTCTCAATTTGATTTAAAAGTTGTTGGCCCAACGGTGCACAATTCATAAAATGAACTGAATCAAAGTAAATAGATGGGATTTACTCAATGTGTTTCACACTGCTTTTCCTCCTTCGCTCCTACCAGAAGATAGAAGAAGGAAACCAGCCTGACTTCCTGTTGGCACATCCTGCCTTTTGATTTTGTTTAATGTCTTCTCCTGTTTCATAAGACACTTTTGGTTTTAATTACCCTTGAATACAAGCATTCCAATTCAATCAGTTTCTGCCAATTTTCAAACTGAATCAGTTACTGAACAAAGAGAGGTCTAAAACAGGAGAAACAGAAACACATAAATATATAGGTATTTTTAAAAAGGAATGTCAAACATGTTTGTTTTTTATCAAAGTCTTTTGAACAAGACGTGGAAGAAATATTACACTTCATACCATTATGAACGGCATAAAAATCAAAACCTAAACAAGCTGCGTGTTCTTTTCCCAACTATTACTGTGATAAATAATTAATGGACCAAGAAAACCGTATTGAATTCTATGATTTTCAGTGTTTTAAAGTACAAGGCACTAAATATTAAAAGCTTTGTAATTACTCTTCTCTTTACAGATATTCTCTTAATGAATCAAGCAGAACAATTTTTTAAAATAATTTCTGTTACATTTCATATCAGAACTGTTGATTTATCAACAGTTTTAATTTAGCTGTGATCTATGAAGATTAAAGATGAATAGATATGACCTCAGTCAGACTAGCATTTCTTAAAGTACACAATTGCCTTACTGGTCATTCCAGTAACCAGGTACGTTTTAAAAACAAGTGCACGACGGAACTTAAATATATATGCGTGAACAAACATGATCTGAATTGAGGTCACTTTATACACATCTACAATGTCTGCAGGATTATTTTAAACCTCCTAGTTGGTTCTCTTCCAACTTAAACAGTTTGTTCACAAAGTTTGGAAGACAGGCAAAAAATAAATTTTGTAAATGAAGGAATCCTGGGGGAAAAGGTGTAATGTAAACCCTGTTATTGGAAGTGCATGAATCCAGTCTTTTACGTCTGAGGTCTCTTTTACGCTCCGGCCTGCACTCTATCTGAAGCATGGCACTGTTCTTCACATTAGGAGGGCCAGTCAAAAGTGCAAATAAACCTGCTAGTTTCTCCCACTGTGGTCTTTGTTGTGCATTATTTTTTAGAAGAGATGCTTGCTTGTACATGTGTTCAGGTTTCCAGTCAGATCCATAATACTTTTGACCAAATGGATCTACACAAATATGCCAATACGCAAAAAACTGTTGAAAGGGAAGAAGAAAAAAATAGTGGATATTGGTGGCCATCTCCTCCTAAACAAATTGCTCTGAATTTCTGTAAGCAAACATGATCCAATGATAACCTAAAACAGTGGAAGTTTTCTTTTGCTTTGTGCTTTTCTGAAGGGAATTAAAGAGCCCTTCAACAATTAACCTCAGTCATAATTAGTACTAAAATATCAGCAGCTATAAATTCCCCTAAGACAAAAAAAAAGAATTTCCCCTGCCTTCACAATGTAGACTAAACCTGTCCTCATTAGTCTTTTTTAGAACTCTTCTGCCAGAACAGATCACTTCAGGTGGACTTTGACATTAATTCTGTGACATACCAGAAGATCACTAATGGAGCACAACGTCTAGACTAGCACAAGACACAACGATGCAACTCTACACAGTGTTTCAATCCTAACATCCTCTTCTGATTTAATCCCAGCAAAATAAATACAACCACATGTACAGAGGTTCACAGCTCTGAAATTCTTCTCCTGGAAGAACTAAAACCATTTGCACAGCAACAAATGTGGGACATCCCAATCAAAGCGCAAGCTTTATTATGCGATTTCTTTAAAAAACTTTCAAAATTGTTTCCCCCAAAACTTGCCCTTGTTGTACTGTCACAATGGCCACAATAATAGTAACAATAACAATCATAATAATAATAATGATGAAAAACTATAATCTATATTATGGTCTTGTGAGCACATACTGTAAGCAAGTGGTTAATTTCCATTTTGTCGTTTGCTTTTAAGAAATCTGTCTTTTGCCAAGGAAAATAATTTTAAATTACATTTTTAATGTAACTGGCAAAAGCATGTACCTTTAGAAAAATGTCTCAAAGTAATAATTAAGATAAAACATTGTAAAATAAAATTAATTCATCTTAAATCTTTCTTTCCTTCAGGACCTTTTTACAGTTTTAGTAAAAAACTCTACTGATACTCAAAAGACCAATGGAAAACAATCAAGTCTTTTGTTGGGTTAAGCACAATAACAGATATACATGAGTGGGTGAAGTCTTCACATTAATAGAACTTGCCTCATAGCTCCGTTTCGTCATCTAAAACAACTGACTGGATTAACATTGTACTTTGAATATATTTGTACTGGAATATTAATTTGAACTTAAAACCCAACACATCCTTAATTGTAGGTACTGTATCAAACACACTAACAGAGAAGGGATATATGCAACACAAAACTATTGTGTCAGGTTTTTAGCTACCTTTAAGTATATTTGAGGGAACAAAATGAATATATGCTGCTTCAAAAATGTTGCAAAAGAAAAAAAAAGCACAAAATGTACTCTGGAAAAGCTCATATGCAGATCTGTTGTGCAGATGACAGCCTATAGGACTTTACCACAGTAACAGCCCTGGACGAAATGGACTACCCCATTTTCTCCCAGAGCTCTGTGCAGGTTAGCGTCAAATTATCTTTGGAGTGTAGTACTATCCCTGCAATATTAAAGGCTACTTTTGGTATTCAGATCGTAGTACAAACAGCATGTTGAGAAAGTGTTGCTTCTGGTAATGATCGATGCTAAATTATTCCACTAAAACTGGGACAACTTTAAGAATGTTCTAAGACACATACTTGGAAACATTTGTTTTATCTTACAGGTTACCTACTATATCAGACAAAACTCCACATCATACTATATTGCTGAAGATGCATAACTGAACAAAACCTAAATGAATTTCATTGTAAAACAATAATTTACAGTCATTAAAGAAGAACATGGTTCCTAAAACACTGTAATACAGAGACATTCACAGACAAAAGCAGGACAGAACTACTGGAAAAGGTACACATTACAGCCCAACAATGAGTACATTTAATAAGGCAGATCTTTTCTACTTCTTACAGTTACCAATCAAGTGCAATAAATTAGTAAGAATTTCTGTCTTTACTTCCACTGCAATATGTGTGTATACAATCACTCAGGGACCTTAATGTTTTAGTGTGTTATAATATGGAATCATAATGTATTTAACTGGGATTTCCTTACTGCTTATAGTCACAATACACTCTTTAATTTCAAAGTGGAAACAACATTCTTCAGATCCTCTTAAATTAAATATAAAACAGAAAATAAACAGATTTGAGTCCACATGTGTGCAATTAAGGTGTTTCACATGAGTTACAACATGCGTATCTCTGGGAGGTCCCACATTTGATTAGTACAGCTCCCAACAATAACTACAGCATGAAGACATGGAATTCAAGGAACATTCAAAGAAACCCTGGAATGGATTTATTCCCCAAAAAACTCCAAGCCCTTGAATATCCCCCAAAGCACAGTAATGTGTATTATAAAGAAATTAGGTATCCGGGTGAAAAGGGCACTAGTCAGGAAAGCCACCAAGAGGAAGATGACATCATAAAGGAATTACAGTCTTCCATGGCTGAGATGGGAGAAACTGTGCGTAAGACAACAACTGCCTGGGTGCTTTACAAATCTGGGCTTCATGGCAGAGTAGCAAAATGAAAGACATTGCTGACAAATAAAAATCACATCAAATTTTGACTCCAGTATAAAGAAGATGCATGGCTGTAATTTCTGCCAAAGGCGCCTGTACCAAATATCGACTCAAGGAGGGTGAATACTTATTCAATCAATTAATTTGTTTTAATGTATAATTTAGGAGGACCTGTTGAATTCTGTTTTCACTTTGACATTATAGCATTTTGCGTTGATCAATAACAAAAGATCCCACTTAAAAACATTATAATTCTGTATCATCATGAAAAAAATTGAAGGGGGTGACACGTTTGATAACCAATGTAGGTAATTCAAGGTACTGAGATTTAGAGCAAAAGAAATTGCCAACCCCCTTTACAAGTCTGAACATTTTTTGTGTATTCTGTACATATAAATCACCTGAAACACTTAATTCAAACCCCCCTCTTCTTACCGAAGAAGCAGGACATAACCCATTTTCACTTCAACTTATTCTGATGACAGCAGTGCACACTTGGAAATACCTTCTAGCTGCAATGTTTTGAGTTATGCTTAAGAAAATACACTGTAAATATTACAGACCCTGAAGAGTTTATCAAGACAAATCTTTAAAGTTTTAAAGACGTAGGAATACCAAAGACACAGGGACTACAAAGAAAAGTAAATGAACATAAATATTCCCAGAGAGCACACAACACAAAGACCCAAGTTCAGTATGATTTTGACTTTGGGGGGTTCATAAAGAATTTCCAGGATGTGCGCCTCATCCTCCTCTGAATCTATGGGGGTTGTTGTCTTACCAGACTGGCCTTTGAGCCCACAGAACCAGTTGATCACCTTCCAGCACGTGCTGCTACTTGTGTTCTCCCCAGCCTCTTGGTTACTCTTGGCCACCAGGCTGGCCTCACCATTCCCATAATGCTCCACAGGCGTTTGGATATCCGACGGGCTGGAGGCCACACAGTCAGTGATGGGAGAATCTACTCTGACCAGTAGCTTGACATCAGCCCCGTCGATCTGCTTATCTTTGTGCAGGTCAACGGGCACCTCTTTGTGGTCGGCGCTCCCATTGCAGTCAATGGGGCCCTTGCCCGTAAGCTTGTAGGATTCTTCTTTGAGCCGGGCCCGTTGCAGCTCTTTGATACGGACACCCCAGATAGTTGTGGTGAAGACCTGCTCCTTCGTGGGAGGCTCTGTGCAGAGACTGACCACTACAGCCACAATCCCGGAGATCCAGAAGAGAGAAGCTGCCACGTACATGTAATGGACATCTTTGATGAAGGCAGGTCTGTTGTCTGGCTGATCGCAGGGGGGTTCTTTGTAAATGAATGCCAAGATCAGACGGGTTGTCCCCAGGATAAAGCCAGTCATCCCTCCATAGAATGCACCAGTCTCATTGCAGCGCTTCCAAAAGATCCCCAACAGGAAAAGAGCTGCGATAGGGGGTGTCAAGTAGTCAGCTACTTCCTGAATGTACAGGTACATCTGTCCACCTTGCATCTCCACAATCACAGGAACCCACGCTATGCTGATGGCCACCATGAACACCACAAAGAGTCGACCAATAATCATCAGTTCTCTGGATGAAGGACACTTCCTTATTGTCTTATAGATGTCCAGTGTGAAAATGGTGCTGGCACTGTTGAAAATGGAATCCAAATCGCTCATTAGGGCCGCAATCATTACTGCCATCATCAGACCTCTGAGGCCAACGGGTAAGATGTTCATCACCAGGCGTGGGTAGGCAATATTGGAACAGCCTGCCTGACTACCACACACCTGCATGCAGTGCTCAGGATTAATGCAGACAATCTCATCTGCATAGAGGATTCTGGAAATCATCCCTGGAATCACAATGATGAACATGGGAAGGATCTTGAGGAAGCCGGCCATTAGTGTAGACCCCTTGGCATGCACAATGTTTTTTGCGGCCAGCACCCTTTGGACAATGACTTGGTCAGCACACCAGTACCAGATTGAAGCTGGGGTTTGACCCAGAAGGAAGCCAGGCCAAGGGATATCTTCATCAGTGGGGTCCCGCAGAATCTTAAGAGACTGGGGCTTTGGGTAGATATGGCAAGTGTTGGCGTTAGTAAAATTATGAGCAGCTAGAATTGCAGTGACATTGGGAACAGCTTGCATGTACTTCTCTCGGACTCCCTCTATACCCCCTACCTTAATGAGACTAATGACCATAAGGGTGAGGGCACCCACAATCATAAGCAAAGCCTGCAAGGTATCGGTATAAATCACAGCAACCAGCCCCCCGGTTATAGTCATCAAAGCTGTCATGCTGATCAGCAAAATCACCGACAAGTAGAGGTTCCATCCCAAAGACTCCTGGATGAACAACGCTCCAGCATACAGGTCAACAGAGAGCTTAGTGAATATGTAGAGAAGCAGGGAGAGGGCCGCAAAATAGATCTTAATGCGCGTCCCCCCATACCGCTTTGAAAGGTATTCAGGCATGGTGAAAACCCCAGAGTGGATGTAGACCGGGATGAAGACCCACCCTAAGAGCTGCAGGAGCAAAAGGGCATTGAATTCCCAAGCTCCAACTGCAAATCCACTTGCTGCTCCGGAACCTGCAAGTCCAATGAAATGCTCGCTGCCAATGTTGCTGACAAACAAAGAGGCCCCAATGACAGGCCAGGTCAAGGAGCGGCCAGCCAGGAAATACCCACTCACCGTGCTTCTGTTGGACTTCCACATGGCGAAGAAGCCAATGCACAGCACCAGCACAAAGTAAAGTGCCACGATGGCAATATCTGCCGTTTCCATCGAAGGGGTCATTTTCTTACATAAAATAAAAAAGACTTATTTCAACAAAATGTTAAGTTACTGGAAGAATGAGGAAATCCGTAGACTGAAACTTGGGGGGTAAAGAAATGCTGCTTCAATCTCTGTCCTTTGGTTTGCTGTCTAGACGGAAACTGTAGGGTCCCAGTCAGGTCAAATTCAATTTTTGGTTAATGATTATCCACTGCCATTTACTTTGATGATGCAGAGCAGAAAATTTTTGGGGTAGGTGCAGCTGAAAGGTCTAGTAATGCCTAGAGTTACATTCCTGCAAGACAGCAAAGACAAAGACAAAAGACCATATTAGATTCAGGTATAATGGGGAGAAGGTAAAGGATGTCAGTCCAGCAAAACACATATGAAAACACACCAGAATAACCTACATTTACCCTTCAGTTAATAAAAACACAAAGCCTTGGGTTCATTTTAAACATGCTTTATTGTACCCAGCATGCTAGTAGTATACACATCCAAATGTAAAAGTTCATTCTTTCACAATGCAAGACTATGATGATTTCTAAGTGGTGTTGATGGACCAGTAGGTGGCACACTTCCCCTTGGACTACAATTTCCAAACCAAAATTCCAGTATGGTGACCAGAGACTCTGTTCTGGAGGAGGTGTGGTACTTCAAACAAGACATTTGACTGACCATTATGTCCAATGGCATTGTTCAAAATGGTTAAGGGTGCTAACCCTGAGTGCTGGCTAAATATCTTTTTAAGCATGAAGAAACTAGCCTCCACAAAGCTCTCACTTAATTCAATTCCAGGGGTAGGAGAGAAAAAGCACACTGGGATCCTTTGAGATAAAAAGCACTGTACAAATCCTAGCAATTCCGGCCACAATTGATTGTTTATTTTGTTAATGCATTTAACCTCACAGCACTGCAACACCCATTTTGCAAGTTCATTATCATGATGCCTTTTAAAAGAATACCACCACCCAAACTGTGACTAATAGATCTGCAATGCTTTGAATTCTGTTAAAACCAATACAGGTGTGGGAGGCTTATAAATGACTTTAAAAAGGCACCCGTATTTATAAACCTTAGAGTTCAATTCCTCATATTTGAAACAGTTACCAGGACAATCTAAAATGCTATTAACTCTTACTGTACCTATATAAAAAACAGTACATCAACACCAAAAACTACCTACATAGTACTATGTACTGTAGTTGCTTTCAAACTATTTGCAAAAGGTCAAAATTTCAAAAATACTAAAAAGGAAACAAATACTTCTTTCCTCTTTTTTGCTACTGAAGTTCTTCAGTGGAAAAGTACTGTTTTTTATTGGTCTGCACTGATGTGTTTAAAAGACAGCACAGAAGCAATATTATTCATGATAGCCTCAGGCATAATGACAAGGTGGCCTTCTGCTGCTTTTCCTTAAATCATACAATTAAAACAAAGTAATTACATATAACACCATTACAAAACATTAGCCCTGAAACTTGAATGTATGAGCTTTACAACACTGATGGTAAAGTATAAGCAATCAATAACATCCCTGGAGTCTACAACGAACACACGATAATGTGGCAGCAAGTGATCCTCACTTTATGGTGCAATCTTAGCATTTATTCACAGCTACACATAGGGGAAGAACTACATTTGCATTACACTTCTGACCCCTGCCTGCACTAGTTAGTCTTATTAATTCTAATGACTGACAGAACAGGCTCTGTGAAATGCAAGACATTTCTGGAGGTACAGTAGTGTTATACTTGCATATACTGTAATTGCCTGCACAGCAGTGAAATTAACCAGATGTTGCTCTTTATCAAGCCGTGACAGGATAATTCACATTTCTAAACTGTAGTATCATTGCAACATGGAGAAAGGCAGCAGATGCTGCTGCAGAATACGTCCTTGAAAAATAAGGACAATGGCCCATATTGCAAAGTTGCACCAAGTTATTTTGTTTAAGAGAAAACATTAGCCGTTACTCAAAGAGGGATAGAATGGCATTCACTTTAAAAGCCCCAAAACTGAATGGAGCTGTTAAGTTTTCAAACCTGATTTTAGCATTTCTGCAGTTGTCTACTAACCATGGTGCATTTCATACCTGTGGTACATCAGTCACTAAAATGTCAGCCAGAGAAGGGAAAGTTCCTCTTAAATTTGTCCTTGCATCAGGAAGCCTTTTCAACAGTGTTATAAAGGACAGGTTATAAAGCAGTTCATTCATCTCGGTAAATTCTGCAATATTTCTTCAATGCATTTGTATACTGTATGTAAGGACTATTATGCTTATAATATTATTAGTCAAAACCCCCACATAAATGTTTCAATAATGTTAAACAGGACAGTTAATGTCTGTTGAATCACAGATGTGATAACTACAGCACAAGTGGATTCACAAAAGCAAGATGAAAACCAAAATTCTTTAATCGGATTATGGCTGTTTGGAAAATTCTCATTCCAAATGCCTGCCAGCCCTTTACAGCAAGTCATGTTTCTGTGTGCAGGCATGTGTTTAAGAAATTCTTACTCGCATACCACAAAATATGAACACTGCTACACATTAATATTGCGGAGTCTGCTGGCTCCCTATTAAAAATCAGACTGAGCTGCCAACTTCAGAATATTTATCACTCAGATGGTTCACAGCAAAAGTGCCAGTCCTGTTAAAAAGGATGGATAACTGAATGGAAAGTGAAAGTGGGATTTGGTGTAATGTATTCAGAGAATTAGACTTGGTTTAAATATGGGACTACAAAGTGTGCATAGAAGTTTATTTTTACACTGCTTTCTTCTTTACGATTGCTTCAAGGGGGAACAACTGTCCTCCCTTCATGAAAGTGTTCTGCTGCCTGGACAGTTTGCAAATCACATTCTGCCTAATGTGAACCAATATGACTGCAGTACTGCATGAACCTTTTTAAAACCGCACCTACTGCTGAACCATTGTATTTGTGAACTAGGAAACGTGTTGCTCAAATGGCTGAAGTGTCAATACCCTCTACTTCTCACAGTGCCTTTCATGGTTAATCATCTCATGTTGCTGTACAATACAATTCATAAGAGACAGGATGCATAAATAAACACAGTAAATTGAACATTTCAAGAATTAATTTATTGCTTAGCCCCTGATGGGACTTCAGTGCGGAACAATTAAAAAACGAAAACAGATCCGATTTTAATCAAAGGCTTGATTTCATGACTGCCATGGCTCAGATGAAAGAGTAATGGCAACAGGCAAAATCCTCATGTTTCAAAGCCACACCGCTCTCCAGCCGACACCCACTGCTGCCATTGTAAGGCCGTGCTATGGCGTCGTCTTCATTTTAGACAATTGCTTAGTCTGTTTTAGCAGTACACAGCTGCCATTCTTCACACAGATGCTGTTTACATATTTCTTTCTTTGGGCCACTCCACATGCATAGCCTGCTTGATCTTTCTGCAAGCCAAACAATTTTTTTTTTTTTAAGACACTCATGTTCATAAAGACAGTTATATCCATAGGTCATGCGGGCAAATTTCGACAAGCTCAGCCCTTACAGTAGGCTAGGTTAAATGTGTTTAATGTACGCATCTAAATCAACCCTGATCCTGGAAAGCCCCAATCTATTTGTCTTCTAGATCACGTATTTTTAAATGAATGAAATGAATCATGCCAGTCAGTTCAATTATGATAACCGAGTCTTTGAAGGGTGAGGAGTACTTTGAATTTAGTTCTAAATCCTCATATTTCTTAAATTTAAAAGGGATGATTTGTTAATCACAATGGAACCGTTCCCTATCTTTATTAATTGGTCAAAGGGTGACCTACAGAACCTGCTACATTGAGGCTCTGCAGGACAAGGATAGAAAAAGCTTTGCATATTTTGTATTTAGACAAGGATGCCACTAACCATTCATCAATCTGTACATTATCAGCATGCTGCTTGTTCCTGGTAAGGCCCATGGGTAATCCAGAGCCTGTCCTGATAGAATAAGGCAAAAGGCAGGACTGTACCTTGGATGGGATGCCAGGAGGCTGCAGGGCACATGAAGAGACAATTTTGAGATGCTAATTAACGTAAACCATATATCTTTGGGTGGGGGAGCAACACAACCCCCAAGCACAAATGGCGAAAATGCAAACTCTTCACATAACGTCCAATCTGGAAAGAAACCCCGTATTCAAGAGCTGTGCTACCAATACTCAATATGCACACCTCTCTTGGGATTTCTTAAGTGCAATACATAAAAACATCACCACTGATCGCATGTTCTTGTCAAGGTAGCATGGAAATGCAGAGAAAAGCAAACATCACCCCAATTCTCCAGAAACACCTTGACAAACCAAAAGAATGTGTTGATATACAACTCCATAAGTGAACTGGGAATATACTACAAATAATGATGGGTAGAAGAGGATTGGCTGAAACAAGGCTTGCTCAGCCCTCAGAGATACAGTGACCCCTGAAGCACACGTTTGCCATGAGGACTGTGACAAACACACCTCTCCTCCTCTTCTCCAATTCAGACAGAAAGGTGGACAGGACAAGGGAATGGGACTCACTTGCTCATTCTTCCCTGTGTGAGATTGTGGGGTTCAAAAGTTAAACGCATAATTGGCAATCCAACATCAAGTGGGCACAAAAAAAAAATAATAATCAGTAATACCAGAAAAAGGACTATGACAGATGGAGGGTTGGGAGGACTTTGAAAACTGCTACTGACATTACCCGCTGGGTACTGGGTATTTCCCTTCTGTCTGCAATATCAGAAAGCATAGCACAAAATAAATTAACAGTTTATTAATAATTTATAAGCTATACAGAAAACAGTCACTTTCTACAGTATAATTTGAAGGTAATTCTTTCAAAAAGTGCATTTCTACCATAACCTGCCATGTATATTTTTGACCAAAATAAAATTGCTGAAAATCAGCAACCCAAGGTGTAAAACTTTGCGTGTGAAAACAGATGCCACGGAAAATAGGATGTTTTAATTGCATTTCTATTGCTTTTACACATTTTTATTGAGAATTGTGAGCTCGGCACATCCACAGCTAGCAGACATGCATTCTTCTTGGACATCTGCGTAGCTTACTGGTTTTCTTGCAAGGTGTGGAAGTGTGAGCACACATGTTTTCATCCCTCTCAAGACCTCTGGGTGGCTGCAGCATTCCAGAGTAATAACACACCCACTCACTGCCAGAGAGCCAGCAGCCACACAGGGCACTTCATTAAGGATACCAGCCTCTGTGTGGTGCAACAAATAAGCAACTATTCTCTTTCCGATTTAAATATGCAAAAAAAAACACAGCCTTAGCTTAGAACCTTCATGGCTTTGCCATTTCAAGTTACACTTACTAAAGTGGATTGCAGATTACCACTGGCCACTGCATAGCAGTATTCTCTAGCTCCATCATATAAAATAGAAGATTACAAATGAATGGTACCCAGCCTGTTCAGTTGCTAGAATACGGCTCAACGACGACTAAAGATGGGCAGAAGCTTTTCAGAAACCACCCATCACTCAGCACCTCAGCAGCTACAGCTTGCCGCACCTGCACCGCAAAGGTTATTTAAAAAAATTAAACCAATGCGACCTGGATTTCATGCGACATGCTTCATGAGGCTAGATTCATGTAAACTCTTGCCATTACAATAACCAGCAGGGTCCTACAGTAGTAGAGTGCGAGAGCTGATCCCTGCATGCAGACTGGTGGAGCTCACAGAAAGGCACTTGCCTGTCAGGTTTATCAATTTTGCAGTCCACAGTACATGGGATCCGACAGGAAAGTGGTGCAGGAAAGTTATTTTTATTCCTTATTTCAAGCATCGCAGATCTATCCTGTTGCTGAATCCTTCTGCATATAAGCAAACTATGGCAATAGTTTTTTTTTGTAAGTGTTTCTAATCAAGGAGCTAACAGTAATACATATTATTCATATTATGCAATAATTGCTTACACTTTTATAGCGCTTTTCTTGACACTCCACTCAGAGCACTTTACAGGTAATGGGGACTCCCCTTCACCACCACCA